AAAAAAAAAAAAAAAAAAAAAAAAAAAAAAAAAAAAAAAAAAAAAAAAAAAAAAAAACTAAAATTCATCAATACTACCTTCATGATTTCTCTGACACCCTTGTAGTCCACACTGCCAATTATACGTCTGATCAGAGTAAAACACTTGATCCAAAACTCTTCATTTTGATATTGCAACTTGTCACAGCTCAATATACAATCGCAAACCAACCTGGATAAAAAAAATCATATAAACCATAAAAATCATAGAAATAGATAGGTACCAATTAACAACTTACTTTGCAGGCAGCACATTGCTGGATACAAGATTTTCAAGTAAAGACAGCACAAGATGCATTCGCCTGTGATTCTCGGCAGCAACGTACAAAAATTTTCGTACCGCTGTTTCCTGTTGATCCTGGGCTAGTCCCATCATTACTCCAACCAGCTCCTTTTGCCATCTCGTCACTTTTTCCTTTTCGCTGCTCGTGTCGTGCACAATTATACAGCTGAACGCTTCCTCTATCGCCTCTACTTTCTACATCGGATACAGGAGAAAAAAAAATTATAAATAATAAACACTGGAAAAAGTACGGATTGAAAACAGTGTAGGAGTAAAAATGTGCTTACCAATATGTCGTTGAGGATGCTGCTAATTTGTGCCTCATTGCCCATCTTTTTTAATTTTTCGTTTCCACACAGAGTAGGTATCTTATCCCTTTAACCCTCCACTTTGATTCCTTTTAATTCAACAATCGTTACGTAGGTAAATATATTAATTCAGGACGACAAAATCGTCCTCTGGAGCACTGCATCTGTGTAGATAAATAAAAGCACGTACTACGTACTACCTACACGGTAAACGGCCTGCGATAAATTTACTGTATACACACAAGCTGGTAACGAAAGATAAGGCGGCGAAAGAGAAAAAAAAGGGTCAAGTCTACTCATCCGGTACACAAGCGGAGAGAATTGAATCTTATTGTTGTGTTTTCGCAGGAAGGAGCGAGAGAGAAACAAACGTGTGTTCTCTCTCTCTCATGCGCAGTTTTAACTCATCGGCCAATCAGAGAGTAGGAAATAAACGACGAAATCACCGGCCATGTTGGATTTCAGCCAATAAGCGCAGCGAAAGTAAACATTTGTCAACATGGCGAGCCCTTCTAATTGTTTTAAAACTGCGCAAGAACAGTCGACAATTGATACGAAAACGCTTTTTTGTATAATTTAACAATCATATTATTGCAAAGTTTACATACATATATCGTGCTAACGTGTTAAATGCTGATCGTGAAGTGAAATGTGATAGAGTTGTGTGAAAAGTGCGATATTTTTGCATTGTAATCGCCGGTATGTCGCGAACGAAGACGGTAGACGACATCAAAAAGGATCAAAGATCAAACTTAAGTATCCAAGCCATAAGCCATAAGCGAAGCGACTTTTTTCTTCGCACGCACACAAGTTTGCAAGGCGGTTGTTACAGGAGGTGTGTGCGCGACACAACAAATTATTAGAAGTGGATAAGTAGTGCAGTGAGTGCATGGAGTCGTAATAAAATATATATATTTATAAAAAGGGACACGCCGAAGGTCGCAGAAAATTGTACAAAGGTTAGGAAAGGTTAGAGTGTTTGCTTTTTAATTCAAGAAAAATTGAGATATAACAGAGAACTGATTCTCTGTTGTG